CCAAAGAAAAGTATCCAGTTTCTTGGCTGAAAGTCAAAATGTCCTTGGTCTCTTAGCAACATACTCCGTTTCAAAGGCCAATAATGTCAAAAATATTTGGAAGCTTGTATCTAATCCTTAAAAGATTTTAGGGTTACCTCTTCAGAGGGAGGGAAATGTTGGAGGGGAGGGGGTGGGCATGGGTTTGATCAAAACACCTTATATGCATGTATGAAATTCTCAAAAAAGTGTTTGTAAAAGTTAAAAAATAATTTTAAAAATTCCATCTTCAAGGGGTCCTTTCCCAAAGAAAGTCACATTCACAGGTTCTAAGGATCGGGACGTGCACGAGTCTTTTGGACAACACCATTAGCACGCTCCCAAAAGGACATGACTTTGATTTCTTAAAAGTAGAGCTTTCGGACCTGTAATCCATGAGGTGCTACCTTGGTGATGAAATGAGATGGCTTACCATCCTCATCCACAGCAGGGACTCTGAAAACACCCAGAAGGGAGCTGAGGTCACAGTCAGCCAAGAGCACACACGCAGGGTGTCCTCCTTCCTGCGCCAGAGGGGACCCTGGCAGGGGAGGCTGGGCTCTGCCACGGAGCACTCTGTGGCCAGCTGTTCACTGGGCTCCTTAGTGCCCTGGCTCAGTCTGTAGCCCACTGTGAAGATGGAAGTTTTAATTAACGTCTGCTTACCAGCACGTTGACTGTACAGCTCATGCGGTTTTCTTTGTTTTCGTCATGCATGATGGTTCTGTAATCTAGAAGCCTCTCCATCAGCCGCACCACAAGTTTCACAAAAGTTTCTCCTGTCTTGGCGAGGTATTTATGCTTCCTGCAGTGCTCCAGGAGGCTGAGGTATAATTATACACACCTTGTTAACCACACTCCGAAAAAGAAACTCAACTTGAGTTGCAGCTTTAAATATTTCCCATTATTAACACATTTTAATTATTTGTGGCCTACGAAGTTCATTGTAGTCTAATTGCAAGTGTCTGTGTATCTCTTCTGACAGAAATCCCACTGCGGATCAACACTTACATTTTATCAAATAACACTTTGTACTGCTCGTCCCCTCCACCTCCTTCTACTTCATGATCCAGCTTGGTGATGATCTCATTTTCAAACTGTAATTAAACAGAGGAAGCGTAAATAATCAGCACTGCTGACGGTCCACTTTACGGTGTGGGCGTCAACAATCAACAGCATGTACATTGGTGGGATCAATGTCGGATACTTTGAAGACCGATTTTGGTTCGGAGATGCTATCCCCAAGCCCCACAGTCTTCTGAGGCAGCCCTCATTCCCTCTAGGGGTTAAAGGAGCCCAAACACATACAATGCCAAGAGTAAGAGGTGGAAAAGGAAAGGCAAGAACCGTAGGCAGTGGAACCAAGGAGAGAAGTACTAGACTTGATCCCTAGGAACAAGCACCATCTGAGATAGGGTGACGGCTCTAGAGGGAACAGATGGCATTTCACTTGCTAGCAAAGAGTTCCTGGTAATCTGAAAACATCCACTGGGCCCTTTACTGCCACCCCGGGAGGGAACTTGGTGAATGTCTTACTCTAGTTCAAACAAGGTCATTAAAAGCAAGAGGTGCAATGTCCCAAACAACAGATGGGCATCCACCTCAAGACCATCTCTCAGCCTGGCCTCAGCTCCCCAGTGCTCTCCTGCTGGATGTCTTGAGGATCAGAGCTGACTGAATGTCACACCCAGGCTTTTCAAAACCCTCTAAATTCCAGGGAGATGGAAATTTCCCGAATGTTTCTGGGGCTGAACAAATTAGAAATAACCACCTTGACAGTGATGAGTGCTTTCCCATCTCCTTCCCTGATAGCACTGAGAATTTAGACAGGCAAGTTCCAAGTCACAGAAGTACATGGAATTATCTGCCCAGGTACGCAGATAGGTGTGTGGGGTGGGGTGGGGGAATGACTGTTCCCCTAAGGATGGTGATACCCACACTGTGAACCAAAGGAATGTGAGGCAAGGAGAGAATAGGGGAAGCAAATGAAATTTAGGGTTCAGAGAGCAAGCCTACTGTGGTATGGATGCAGGGGTCTCTGGGGTCCCTTTAAGGTGTGCCCAAATACCTGGTTCTCAATCACAATCCCCAGGTCCCCCATGTTGATTCGGTTCCCATGAAAACGTCAGCCAGGCAAGAGGCAAAGTTGCCATTCCCCCTGGTCACTGTTCTATCCCACGGCCTAGAATGCAGCCTGAGGTAGCTATTCCAATGAAATGAACATGTTACCCAAGCACATAAAACATTTGTTTGGTATTGTCTGTTTTGTTTCATGTAGCACAGGCTGGCCTCAAACTCAGTATGTAGTGTAGTGCCCGCGCGTGTGTGAGTGTACTCATGTAGTGAAATGCCACAGAGGTCAGAAGAGGGTGTTGGATTCCTCTGGAACTGGAGTTAAGGACAGTTCTTAGCTGCCACGTGGGCTCTTGGAATCGAACCTGGGTCCTCTGCAAGAGCAGTCTTAACCACTGAGCCATCTCTCCAGCCCCAATAAAATATATATTTTTTAAAGTTAGGACTTTTAGGAATACGGAGAAGTTCCACTAAAGGGAAAAATTGGCCTTTTTCTTTTTTCTACCTGGATTCTCATGAAAATGACTTTTGCTGCAAAATCACAACCCTTTGCCACCAGCCAGGAACCACTCCGCTCTTTATAGAGAACCTTCCTTCAAGTGAGCATTCATCTTGAAACCTAACACAAGGGAGATCTCTTGCAATTGGTCCCATAATGGCATTCCAAGGCTGTCTTGTCTTCCAGGGGGAAACCACACTGGGCCACCAAAGACCAAAAGTGTGACAAGCATGCCTGTTTCAGAACAAATAATTGAGAAATAAAAGATTGTGATTCAAACATAGGATTCAACTGCACATTGATGAGGATTGTAACAGAGAGCATAGAGAGGTCAGAGGAGCATGCCTTACCTCAACACAACAGGCAGACCTTACAATTGCTCACCACGCCCCAGTCAGCATATTAAAATGTGGATTCTACTTTTATGAAAACAACATAGTTTCTTTGCCCCCATGTAAAGCTAGCCCTCACAAACACAGGCAGCAGTGGGGAGCTTTAACTTCTTAAATATGCCGCTTATCAAATTTTGATTGATGAATTCAATGTTTTCTTTTTAAAAAAGTGGTTGAATGATAAGCCCATCAGAACACAGCTGATTCTAATTTTACTAACTCCTAGTCTAAAGTATGGCAAGGCAACAGGGTTGCCACCCTGGGCTGTGTACCAGCAAGGTTTCAACACAGGGGTCTTCCGCCTGCCTCCCACTATAGGGTCTTTATTATTTTTTAAATACTTTATGATTTTTATTTTATGTGTATGAGTGCTTTGCCTTCACGTGTGTAAGTGCAAAGAACACAGAGGCCAGAAGAAGGCATCGGATCCCCTTGAAACTGGAGTTACAAATGGTGGTTAGCTGCCACGTGGGTGCTGGGAATCGGACCTGGTCCTCTAGAAGAACGGCAAGTGTCTTAACCGCCGAGCCAGCTCTCCAGCCCCAGTCTTCATTAATTTTTACAGAACACAGTAGAATCAATATGTTAGTGTGCTGTGAACTGTTATCATAAACAGAATTAAATGATCCCGTTCCAATAAGCTGGAGACAGTCCGTTTGCTGACAGAGCGGGGCTGGATTATAGAAGCCGTGCTGATTTTGTTGCTCAGCGCTATTCGGCAGCGCGCTCTGTGGCTAGGATAAAATTAGCGCGTGTATGCGCCACTCGAAGGTGGTAGAGGCTCACTTATGTAATGAGCAGAGCCATTATATTTTCCTCTCTTTTCTGAATCACCAATATTCCTACAAAAATATCTACAGGGTATTCAACATAAAATATCGAACAACACATCTCCAAGTCTCTGATATCAGAAGCCCCCAGAGACCATGAGAGGAAAGTGACCCCTGAAGGCATTGGGAAGGGCACGTTTCAACTGAAGGTGATGGAGTAAGAGGCTGTGTGCACAGGAGCATCCGTGTCGCTAATTCAATTAACTTTGGAGCTTTCTGGATTCACTTCCCAAGTCAGTCATGGGCTACTGGATACTGTCTCAGAGACTATGAAGGAGGATCCCAGCCACAGACTCTGAAAGCCAATGACAATTCACTTAGGATGCAGAATTTGGGATTAGATTTACTGCTATTAAAAAATTATCTCTGTGCATGCGTGCAGCGTGCATGCAGTTGTGTGTGTGTGTGTGTGTGTGTGTGTGTGTGCAGTTGTTTGTGTGTGTGTGTCTGTGTGTGTGTGAGAGAGAGAGAGAGAGAGAGAGAGAGAGAGAGAGAGAGAGAGACAGAGAGGACAACTTGTGGGAGCCAGTTCTCTCTCTCTCTCTCCACCCTGTGGGTCATGGGGATTTGCAGTGGGAGCCTTTATCTGCTGAACCATCTCGCTGGCCCTGTTATTATTATAAAATCAGACCTGCATTTTCAGGCATCCAGAAATATTAATCATACCCAGGGTTACGTTGGAGCCTTACAGGAAGTTGGTACAAACAATTCAGGCTCAGAAATCAAGGACTCCATGGCTGTGGTCTACTGCCTCTGACAGCACACAGCTTTCCTGGGTCACTGCTTGTGACCCTTGGCAAATGGTTGCCCTTTGCTCAAAGTGCTCTTTCTCCCTGTTCTCATGAAAACATGCTCAGAAGGCACTGCAAGGCAGGAACCTTGGTGCCTGGCCACTTGAGGGTCTTGGAGAACACCAGGGAGTCCCCTTTACTATCTTTTCCACACAAGCTCCATGGCATTTACCAGATGGTATGAAAAGCATGAAGAAGGTGGACTGAACCTGAGTGGAGAATATGGCCAGGCCAAGAGGAAGGCTTCACAGAGAGTAACTGGCACTTAAAACCCCTGGTCTCTAGCTCCCATCATGATAGCCTGGAAGAGACAGATGCCCCAGTCTGTCACTCGGCCTTTAGTTTGTGCTCAGGCACACCAATATTTTTTATGTGGATTATACTCCTCTTCCCTAACCACTCTGAAAATGTAATTACATAATTAATCTTTGGCATTCCATCCCATATTCTAATACCCCCCACATCCTCCTTGTTAATCAAGTAAGCAGTTCTCTGACCATGAAACTTCTGTGACCACTCAGGAGCTGGGAGACCCCAAAAGCTGTGCCCTTGGAGCAGCTGCGCTGGGCTGCCGTCTGCTGCCTGGCTGAGACGTCTTGCAGACACAACACAGCTTAAGAAAGACTTTTATCTGAGCACAATTACGGTGGATTCTGGGAAGATGGCCACAGAGGGGGCCGGGTTTGATTTAGTTGAAGGAGATTACGGGAGTCTGAGGATCTCTTCGCTGGAAGGGCTTTAAAGAATAGACTTCAATATAATCAGAACTCCCGGAGTCAAAGGTGCTGGCTGTCAAGATCTCTCGTACCACCTTTGGGTCTGAACTCACTGAAATCAAAGTCTAATTCCCATGCCATGATGCCACTCAAAGCAACATGATCAAGTATTCTTTTGACATGGAAAGCGTAAATAAATGAACGGGAAATAAAACTCCCAATGAATTAGAGAATAAACAAGATAAAAAATCGTCACCAAACTTATTCACATTCATATTACAGTGCAAAATATATTGACTTTTCCACTGGGCAGAAGCTGCCAAGGTTCACTTGGGTTACTCTATTATTTACTTAAGGTTACTGGCGTGGGCAGTTGGAAGATATTATTCAAACAGGAAACACTGACGACACCAAGATTACTCATGTTCTAATACTGTTACAAGGAAATGGGAATTTCTGGAAGTTGTGGAGTAATTTACCGAGTCTCACAAAGATGACATAAAACAGCTCCATGATTGAAAATATGATTCCGCCGCGGAGCCTCTTCCACGCCATTATTAATGGGATGTAGCCCACATGGTCATTTGCTGCAATTCTCCTCTGTTAGCTCTGTATTTTCCAAAGGCATAACAAATGGAATTCTTTAAAAAGATGTCAGGAGAGAATTTAAAGCTTTTTTTTTTTTTTTTTTTTTTTGCCCAAGCCTTATCTAAATGTTACACAGAAGCCAAAATTACAAGATTGGTAAAACTGCCCTTCTGACTACTCAACAACCACCTTTACCAAGTCCTGGGTT